GGATGAGTGCTGAGCAAGGGCCTGTGAAATCAAGCTTCCTTCAAATGTGATGCTGCGAGAATGGAATCGCTCGGTGTGCTTCTCGCCACGCATCCTCCGGCAGTTTAGCGTCGCTTTGTAGCCTATTGCTTCTCCCCGCACCTCCAAAAAGTTCCGGGATCTGCTGAGCCGTTTTCGTAGAATGTGGTGCTGTTGGACTTGTGAGCGCTCATCCATTTCGATGTGTTCGCGCCAACTGTGCTGCGCAGTGCAGCTGCTCTCACGTTTACTCATCGTTTTTTGCCTGTCTTTGGTGCGATTCTCAAAGTTTGTCAGATGTAATTTCACTACTCTGCTCCACGACGCCTTCGTTCTGTGAATTGTAAAACGGTTTCGCGCGTCTCAGAGCTTTTGGCTGTTCGGATAGTGGCATTTTTTAGAGCTGTAAGAATGTGGGTGTTTGAGAATGGTGCACTCTCAATTCGTTGTGTGCACGCCGACGTCACCGCAAAGACTAATTGCGCAGGCCGGTCTCATTGCAATTGCAGGGTTGTGTTGAGGCATCGGTCGGCGATGGGCAACTCGGGCAGCAAAATCAACTTTCGTAAGGCAGTGATCGAGCTGACAACGAAGAAATCGAAGGGCGAAGAGGACGCGTTCTGGGAGGAACTATGGGCCGCCAATATCAACAGTGCCGCGGACGTTTTTGCCCTCATCACTGCTGAGGATGTGAGTGCCTTGCTGTTTAGCTAATTCTGTTGTGTTGGTGCTAGTGCACGCAGCATGCCGGGGACGCCAGCCAGTCGATCTTCTTAGCAAATTTGAACATGAGAATAAACAGCAGCTGGCTGCCTCCAAGGTACCTTCCTAAAACCGATTAAATTAGGATATGCCGTTTGGAACCAGTCTTTTTCCCTGGAAAGCACGTAGTCATTTCGCTGTAACAGCCCTGGAGTCTGGGTTCCAAAAATTTCAACACATCTCCCGCACTTTTTACCCATGTGGGGGGAAAATCAGCGGAAAATGTGTGCAACGAATGTGATGCATTTGACATTTTTTGTTGGAACAACAGAGGAAAAAGCAGCGTCAGAATCATTGACCGGCCATCAGCTAGTTGGGGTTTCACCGCATTAAGGCAGCAGTTACGTGCTTGTAAATGAGTAGTTTCAGGTTCGCTCGCTGCGCGATAATTCTCCGAACAATTTGGCCGCTCTTTGTTATAAAACCGTCGACCGAATAACAGCCGCTCGTAACGCCCCGTCGAGCATCTCGCCAACAAAGGTATGCAGTGCCAGTAACAGGATCCTCGCTTAGCCGAGCACTTCTACCATTCTCCAAAGCCTCATTTCTCCTAGGCAGTCAGTAAGCCGTGTTTTCGTCAGTAGTGGCCCACTCAGCTTCCTACAGATGGGAGCGTACCTGATTCCTAGCCCAAAACAGCGCACATTGAAATGTTCTATTGTTCCGGGTTTTGCTTTCGGACTCATCAGATTTTATGTTAACTCCGAGCTCATTCCAGTTCTTTTTTGGCTGCTCTCTGCACCTATTTAATGAAATCTTGAACGGCTTTTTTTTTTTGTTTTTTGCATTTGTGCACAAACATTTCGTTGTGACATCCCAGCCTGAGCAAAAAAGTAAGGTGATACTAGGTATTGGCAGCTATACGATGAGTGTGTTGGCGTAGTCAGTTTATAGCATGAGATCGTGCGGTGATTATTCGCAGATAGCTTGCTTCAATTCTTGCTTAATAACGAAGAGTAGCTACTGTATGTTGGTGCGTTTAAATTCGTGATTGTTTCAGGTTTGTTAATCGGAGGGCCTAAGATGGTTTAGTTAGCTTTTTTTGAGTGTTTATTTAAATCACCTTGCAATTCTCGCAGTCACTAGGACCACGCTTTCAACAAATACTGCCTTGATTATCAAAAAGCCGTCACCATCATCATCAAGTTGGCAAATGCTCTCAAAAACTGTCTTTCCAGGTGCTGAATTGTGTGCGCCTTTTGACGCGAGTTTGCCCATATTTGTTCGAGGATTCAGACTGGCGAAGTTTCTTCTGGTCTTTGCCACCAGCCGAGCAAAATGAGCAAGTTCCTCAGCAGCCACTGGCCTGCACACTGATATCGGTGCTCACCGACCTGCTCTTCTGCCCCGAATTTACAGTTGCTTCTCTTGGCACTCGTCCGGTATTACATTTGTTTCTTGCAGGCCAGTCCGGACGAAAGATGAGTGTGATGTGAAGGCGACCAATTACATAAACTGATCCATCCTCTTAATAACACACACTTTTTTGTTTTGATTATTTATTGCTCGCTTTAAGAAGCATTCGAACCGGGAACCCTGCAAGCTACAGTTACTTTTATTCTACAGGAAGGGTCTGACGATTTAAGTGCGA